AGCCAAAGCGTTGCCCTCCACCAGCAGGCGAGGCGCCTTGCCTCGCAGCACGTCGGCGGCCTCGAGGTGCGAGTGGACGAAGAGCATCGTGCACTGGAGTCCAGGATGCTGGTCGAGATGAACTCCGATCTGCCACCACAAATCGCTGTCTGGTCCCTCAGGGCTACGATACCGATGATTGTACCATCCGATGATAACACTTTCGTTGTCGGTCGTGTAGATGAGATGCCCACGGCTGCCCCTCAGGGCCAAGTAGAAAGCAAGAAGCTCTCTTTTTGGCACCGTCTGCCGAGGGCCTGGCAGGCCTCCCCACACACCAAGGAACAACTCCATGTCGTCGGCGAGGTCGTGCAGGCAGGCCAGTCCGCATCCCACACGCCGAAGCCGTGGGTCACGACTCTCGCGCCCCCCGCTGGCGTCGCCGAAGATGTAGAGCGGCTTCTCGCGCGTGCCCTCGCCGAAGCACCCCTCGACGAAGTCAACGCCAGTGGTACTCCAACTCTCATGCTCCTGCGTGGCCTCCACGGACGGCCACGCCGCTGGGATGATGCTTCTGGTCCAGAAGCAGGCGTCAGCCTCCCCCTGAGTGTAGGCTTCTCCAACATACTTTTCCGTGATCTGATATATGTCATGCTTGCATCGGCCTTCGCAGGCCCACACACGATGAAAAGCCGTCTCACGATGACCACGGCACCGAAGGCAATCCTGGGACATCTCCTGCTTGGCCCGCTCCTGCCGCCGTGTGCGGGGCCACGTGGCCCCGACGGCGATCGCAAGCATACGGCCTGCAAGTCGTCGACCACCAGGAGCGCCCTCAAGGTGCCGTAGCAGACGACGGTACGACTGATTGCAGGCCCCACCTTCAAGTCCTGTTCCTTCATGGTGTTGAGCTGCACGTGTCCTCAAACCATTCTGCACAGTACGCTCATACTCGTCGAAAAAGGCGTTGGGTACGTCTAAGTGCTCAATGCCATGTGTGCTCTTGACCGTCATCCGCTGTCGGCGTGGTCCAGCTTGTCGGTGAATCTGGTCGCCGCCCCGCCTGCAGAAGGTAACGGATCACTGCGCCCTGAGGGCCGCGGGTGTGCCGTGTCTTCTGACTCGGCGGCATAGCTCTCATCTCTTGAACAAGCCCAGGCCACGTGAGCATGATGCTGTCATGGATAGTTGGCTGGCGCACCCAGCAGGTAAGCCAGAGACGAAGACACTCGCGAGGAAGTTTGCACGCTGGTTCCCTGCCAACTGCTTTCAAATCAATCAGCGTCGCGAGGCATCGACCTGGCATCTTGGGTCCAATAGCGTTGCCTAATTTTCTGCGTAGTTGTGTCATGGCGTCTCCGAATGCGCCGTGGAGCTGGTGCCCGTAGGCCCCAGCCGCTTGGGCTCCCTGCTGCTCCAACCTTGACGTAAGACCATACCGACGAGTGGCTCTGGCAAATTTGATAACTCGCTTGTGCATGGCTTTGTGCTTAGCTTGCCTAGCTGTCCGACTGGCACGTGCGTGACGAGACCCGCCATCGAGGTCGGCCCCCAGATATGGCGCCTGCGGCGCAGCTTTGACCACGCATCCATGGGCGCGAACTCTCCTCACAATGGCTTTGGCGTCGTCCAGCATCGTGCATACAACAACACTCTTCGGCGAGATGGACAAGCCCGCGCGCTGCATCGACCTGCATGTGCCCACCAGGCACCGCGCGAGCTTGTTGCGCATCGTCTCGCTTGTGCTCTTAATCGACTGGCTGAGGTCATCAATCCACGGCCGCTGATACATGCCCACGTGCACCGTCGTGAGCCGATGCATGATGTGGTACGTCGCGCACTTGTTGAATCGTGCGCCTCCGCGGAGGCCCTGGACAATAGAACGCAGGGAAGCGAAGGGCTCCGAGCACGTGCCTGACTGGCGCGAACACCGCGCCGCCATGAACAGCATCACCTCCAGACCTAATACATCGGCTGGGAAGCCGGGCCGCATCGCAGCCCTGCCTACCATCAGCCACCCGATCGTGTCGTAGAACTGGCCTATGTCCAGCAGACCGTTCCCGTGACTGATCTTGAGCCTCGCCGCAACTTCCTCGTCGATCGCTCTCAAGAGAACTTCGCGAATCGCCGCGCTTCCTTTGATAGCTGCATCCCAGTGAGCTTCGCACTCAGTGGTCCACTGCTTTGCATATGACTCTCGTGCTAGCGACCACGCGCGCGAGAGGTGTGGAAGTAGCCCGATGATTCTGTCACCTGGTACTTTCTTTGGTAAGAGAGTCCCAATGGTGCGTAAAATCTGGTGTGGCCATGCCTGGATGGCCTCGCATGCACTGAGCAAAGCCGACAACTCCTGCAAAGCCTCATCGGGTAGCCGAAGGAGATCGTGCGATCTCAAGCGGTCCACCCCCATGGCTGCCGTTGCCTTGATGTGCTTCAAGGCTTCGCGAAGGTCCTGCACGGTCAGCGGTGGCAACGACTCATATTGAACCCTCGTGCGGATGTCACAAAAGAGTTCCTCAAGTGCTGCGAGCTCGATGCTGGACCCGTCTCCCGCCAGACACGCGGGGGCCCAGACCTTCTCCCATTCGCGACTCTTGTGGTCAAGAACGTCTCTCGGATGCAGCAGGGCCTGACCGTCGACGATGACATCCTTGACCTCGGGCATCGGATCCTTCAACTTCTTGTGGAGGATCCCGATGGCTGGCGCCGTCTCTGCCCACTCCCGAAACTCTGCCATCGCCTGACCGAGCGCCCGCCTCTGACTTCGATTCGCCAACTTCTCGATCGCCTGAGAGCTGACATCCAGAACAGCCAGTTCGCTGCCACGAAGATGTGCCAGCAAGTGGGTCCAGGACTCCCAAGGGTAATGATCGGTCGGGCGGGCAATCTGCAATGCTCGATCAGGGATATCTTCCAACAACCGTCTACCTGCTTCGTACAAAATATTCAATTGCCTGACGCCTCCTGTCCTCCGAAGATGTCGTGTAATACTACTGATCACTGTGCTCGCCCGTGTCCACCAACTGCAGACACGATCACGTAGCGGTGCGACTCCAATCGGTGTAGCCTGCTGGACACGCGCCACTTGGAACTGAGGTGCCGACCCGCGTGACACTCCAGAGGAGACCTGCTTATGGTGCGGGTGTATGGACGCCTCGACCGTGCGAATCCAGCTGGCGCACAAGCCGCTCAACACAGCCGAATCGTTTGAGCCGAGGTGGTAGGCTATGGTCCTAGCAATCGCAGGAGCGGGGGGGCAGGCAGAGGCAGGGGTGAACCCGATGCTCTGTCTTTGCTCATGCCAAGTACTGCTAGGGATGTGAAAATCGGGCTGCCACTTTAGCGTGTCGGACTGCTCCTCGGAAGATGACCCCTGGGCGGCTGGGTTGGGAAAATCCGACGGCTCACGCGGGACTGAATTGACATTCTCTGATTGTCCGGCTGTAAGAGCAGCCTCGGGGCACGAGAGAGGCGGGGCGGCCGCGGGTCTGAAAACGGTCTCGTCCGCCCAGGGGTCGTCCTCCGAGCAGCCCTCCCACCCGTCGCCTGAGCAAACGGGCTCACCACCGTCCTCGCAGCGGGTGTCCACGTAGCTGTGGGCCGAGGGTTGGGGGGGCAGGGAGGGGACGAGACCGAGGCCCGAGCCGTGATTATCTTCCGCCCCCTCGTCGAGACCAAGCCCCGAGGAAAACCAATCTTCAAAACGCGCATCACGTTTCTGCTTCGCCTCCAACCTTGAAAACGCCCTCTTGGTCTTGGCCGAACTGGATTTGGATCCAGGCGTTGCCTGGCAGAGGGGCTTACAGACCTGAGGAAGGCGAGCAGGGATATCCAGGTACCTAGTGTACAACTGGGCGCCTTGGGACACTAACTCTATACTGAGACCGATATGTGGTTTCCATGGCACGGCGACGACGGGCAGAACGTGACGAACATACGCACGTGCCGCGTGACTCACTATCTTTTTTTTAGTTTCCAGCTGCTGGCGTGCAAGTGAACTGTGCATCGGAGCGTGCAATCTGGCCTCCAACGCGCTCCAACCATCCTGACCGAACTACGCTGTCTGGTGGCAGGTTTTAGTCTGCAGCTACGATCCATGGAATCTTTAAGACCGCAGCAGACAACCTAGCTTCCTGAGTCGGCCAACGTTGGCATCACGAAATCCTATGCCTGAGTGCCCGTAGAAGCAAAAGGTGGCCAGAGGAAAACCTCTCATGTGAGCGACGCGCGGCACGAACCCGTCGTACATGTTGCCACGCTCCGCGCGTAGCCCGTTTGACTTGCAGCACGCGCTTCAGCCAGTAATCGAACAGGTCGATGATTGCGAGTGAGTAGCCACTCGCCCCCTTCATTGCTGTGACTGTCCATCTGCTCGTCGGGCTTGATCCACTTGGACTTTGGCCTGGCGGGGTTCGCGAACAGCTTCAACGATGCCTGACGAGCACGGGCAGACCACTTGCTCACAGCTTGCTTCCCAATGTGTGTCTCGCACACGGCTAGAAGATCATGACTGGACGACCTTGCCTCGATGAGGTTCCAGGCCTTGTCGCCCATGCATGTGGCGTTCGAGAAAAACATCCTTGTAGTGGTAGTTGTTCCAGTAGAAGCACTGGCTCCCTCATGCTGCTGATTCGCCGCAACAGCGTCGGCACTTGCAGATCCTAGTCAAGAACCAGGCGTGCCTCCTGGCTTGGCCGCGGCCTTCGGCACGGCTGCGTTGCCCTTGCCCAGCGCCTTGGCCGCCGACACCGACTTGAACCGCTCCTGCGACAGCCTGTCGGCCTCGGCCTTGAACTCGCTCTCCGGGACCTGTGCCGTGGGCTGCGCTGTCTCCGTCGGCGCCGGTGCTGGTGACGAGCTGCCACTAGAGGCTCCACCGCCAGCGCCTTCACCTGGGGCTCCAGCTGTGGCGTCCTCGGTGGTCTTGCGCTTCTTCTGCGTCCTGCCGAGGACCTCCTGCTCGGCCTTGGCAACCTTCTCAAGGAACTGCTTGAGCTCCGCGTCCTTGGACTCGAAGCTCTGCTTCCACGTCTCCAGCTCTGACTTGAGCTGACGCAGCGCCTGTTTGTCGCTCTCCTCGCACTCCCAGTCCTCGAACTTGTCAAAGACCTCGGGGTTCATCTGAATGCTGATGGTCGGCATCGAGCGTCGGCGCAGGACGCTGGCCCCTCCGAGCCGCGGATGCCCTCCGCCTTGGCCAGGGCTGCGGCGGCGTCCTTCTTGGCCCGCTCTGCGAGGACCAGCTCCTGGGCCGCGCTCTGCTCCTTGGCCTCGGCGGCCTGGAGCTGGGAGCAAAGTCGCAGCACCTGCGCCGCCAGCTGCTCGTGCCGATGGCTGGCCGCCCGCCACGCCCCGTCAGCCCGCTTGACCGACTCGGCCGCCGTCTCACGAGACGCGGCGGGGAGCGTGGCGAGGCGGCTCCGCTGGGCGGCGAGCGCCGTCTACATCTCCTCGTTCTGCGCCGTGCGCAGGGCCTTCTCCAACAAGTCGCCCAGCTGCGTGATCCGCAGGTCCTTGCTCTTGCGCCCCTTGTCGCGCGAGCGGTTGCTACCTACGCTGCTGTTCTCCCAGTCGGACTCGTCCTCGAAGTGCACATGACGAGGGCCGCGGGGTTTGAACAGCTTCTTGACCTGGTGATTGCATCCTGGGCACATCATGCCGTTGGAACGAAGCTTGTCATTGTACTCGCACTTCTGGCAGTTGCCGCAACTTGTCCATGCCTTGGCGCGCTGCGGAAACATCCCTGCTTTCGCGAACACTTGCGAAGGTGTCAAAGATGCAAGTGGTCACACTCAAGCACCACTCTGAGGTACAGGGAAGGACTCGGGCGGAAGTGAGTGTGCAGCAGGCCCCCAGGCCTCTGACCCACTTGCTCGAGCCCAAGCGGCTTGAGGGGGGAGGAGGAGGAGGAGGAGGAGGAGGAGGAGGAGGAGGAGGAGGAGGAGGAGGAGGAGGAGGAGGAGGAAGGGGGGGAGGAGGAGGAGGAGGAGGAGGACGAGGAGGAGGAGGAGGAAGAGGAGGAGGAGGAGGAGGGCTCCCGCAGGCGACCCCCCCCCCAGGACCTGCCGGGGCCCCACATGGGGGGGCGGTATTCTCACCTGGGACCCCCCCTCCCAACCCCACGCCCGCCCCCCCCTCGTACGTATTCCCCGCTCCCCGTCGGGGAAGGGAAAAGGGAGTTGGAGTCGATTGAAGTCAGACTTTTCTTTTCCCTGTTCATGAATTTCCTTGGACTGGCGACGACTCCGACGACGAGGAAGACGACGACAGCGTCTCACGCACGCCGAAGGGTTGGCGGATCAACTGGACGTGCGCCTCCAACAGAGGCACATCGAGTGCGAGTATGTCGTTATGCGCCCCACGGGGGATCGAGCACATGCGGTTGTCTCCTGGCTGGCGCCGCCTCGTCTCGGTGCACTGACGTCATCGCCACTGGCCCCGTCTGCATTGCTTCACGCGTCCCCCGCTCGTCGGCGTCTCTGAATGTTGTCTGTCAACTCAGCAGCCCTTGAGCTTCCGATGCAGTGATAGCAGCCCATTCGGTCAACGTGTTCAAAAACAGACACTAGCGTGTGGAGCCACAAAACACTTAGACAGGAAAGAAGCCATGCGCGTGGAAATACATGCGCAATGAACTCAGTGTGTGTGTGTGTGTGTGTGTGTGTGTGTGTGTGTGTGTGTGTGTGTGAGGGGTCGCCGCAGATGTGGCACTCTGTCTGCGAAACTATTTGCGTGCCAGCCCATGCATGCGGACCCCCCTCTGCGTGTGAACATCCATGTTTGCGGAACCACAGATGTGTGATTCCAATGTTCAGAGAACCCTGAACGTGTGTGTTTGTGTGTGTGTGTGCGCGCGCACTTTCACCGCTGACTGCAACCCACTGGCGCGCCCGAGGAAACGTGTGTGTGGATGTGTGGATGTGTGTGTGTGTGTGTCTTGCTCTCTCCTCCTTTTTCTAGGCCTCCCGGACGGGGTCCGAGTAGATCGGGTCGGAGCATCGCGTCGCATCGCCGATGCATCGGCGATGCGGCTCGGTATGGAGCCCAATCTTCTCCACGGCGGTTACGTCGCCGATGCATCGCCGACGTCGGCGATGTGCCGCCGATGCATCAGCGATGCGGCGCGATCCTCCGACCCCATCTACTCGGACCCCATCCCAGGCGTTCCCAAAAAAGGCCTTGCCTTCGAGGATCCAAGGAGTTGCCATCTCCACCTCAGCGGAAGGCGGCGGAAGGTCGGCGGAAGTAAAACGAGGCCGCCTCCGCCAGCTGCCGCCGGCAGAAGCCCGCGGAAGCTCGGCGGAAGGCGGCGGAAGTAAAAGATGCGCCCTCCAAGAGATGAAAGCGTTTCGGGCTCAGGGCTTCCGAACTCGCCCATTCGGGAGGCCTCTGCTTTCTCCCGCTGCGCCTCCCAGCCGAGCCACGGCGCCCCCCGCCGCACCGCCGCCGCGGCCGCGCGCGCGCGCGCGCTCCGCGAGCTCCGCGGCTGCCGGCGGCCGCATCCGCGGCACTTCGATGGAGGCGGGCGGCGCACTGAGACGGAGCAAGGAATACAGGCGAGTTTGATGAGGAGGTCAGCCCTGCGAAGTCCACCTTCCTAGGGGCGGCGAGCGAGGGGGGGAGGTGAGAAGGAGAGGGCCTTCTCAGAAGGCTCGGAAGCCCCCCGGCCTTCTGAGAAGTTTTCTACGCCTTCCCCGAAGACACAACAAAATCTCTCAGAAGGCGCGAGGGCTTCTGAGAAGTCCCGCCGCCTTCTGAAAAGGCCTTTTCCTTCTCACTCCTCCCCCTGGCTCGCCGCCGAGCCCAGGCCTCTTGGGTGGGCTCGGAGTTGACGGGGTCGGAGGATAGCGCCGCATCGCGGATGCGTCGGCGATGCGGCTCGATGTGGAGCCCGATCTTCTCCACGCCGGCGTCGCCGGTGCACCGTCGACGTTTCCGATGCATCGTCGATGCATCGCGATGCGGCGCGATCCTCCGGCCCCATTGCTCGGACGCGATCTAGGAAGACTCTAGTCCTCTGTTCAGCGAGCCATTTTTTTTCTATGGCAACTTGGCCCCCGCAAGGGTCTCGCCGTCCTCTCGCGTGTCCTCTCCAATCAAACCCGACTATGCCGGCGCAAGCATGAACTGTCGGAACTTTGCAAAAGTTTACGTTTGTGTCGGGGGTTCTTTTGCGGGAGCGTACCTCCCGCCTCCTCGGGAACGGCCTCGGCGACCGACACATCCTCCGGGCCCTCAGCTTTCAAATATTGTTGGTTTCCTTTCATCCGAATTTGCATCGTCATGTCGCCTTCCTCTCAGAAGTCTTTTTTTGTCATAAGTCGTTATTTAATGGTCTGGGGCCCGGAACTGTGCCTCCAATGACCGTCATGACGACCCAACTTGCCGCCGTGTTCATTGGAGAGGCCTTACGGCCGGTGCCGCCGAACCTGAACGACGACGACGACGCCGACGCCGACGCTGACGCCGACGCTGACGCCGACGCCGACGACGACGACGCCGATGGCGGCGGCGGCGAAGATCACGCGACAACGACGCCGACGTCGCCGTCGCCGCCGACGACGGCGACGACGACACCGATGGCAGCGGCGGCGAAGACGCGACGACGACGACGATGACGAACCAACTTGCCGCCGTGGTTATTTTTCCTTGCTGAAGGAGGTTTGGAAAGCCTCGGCCGCTGATCCCCCTCCCAGACCAGGGGAGGCTGATTCTTCCCTCGGGCTCGAGGAGGAGGAGGTGGAGGAGGAGGACTTACGTATGATCGTTGTCTACCTGTCCTACCTGGCGGGTGCCTACTTAAATGCCCTGCTGCGCCGCACCTTCCTTTTTCCTCCTCACCTGCGGCGCCCGCCAGGTATTGCGCCAAGTCGGGCTTTGCATCATTTTTGTTTCACTCCAGCTTCCAAACGCCGCAGCTGTTAGCCTAGGTCGGTTTAATTAACATGAGAAAGGAGGAGGGGGAGGAGGAGGAGGAGGGGGAGAAGGAGGAGGAGGAGGAGGAGGAGGAGGAGGAGGAGGAACAGAAGAAGGAGACCAACGCACCCGGAGAGCCGACGCATGTGGCTGGCCGTCTCTCTCCCTCCCCCAGCTGAAGCCAGGGCAGGAAGACACCAGCCCTCTCCTGGAAACGGCAGGCTCTCACCTTGTCTTTGCGCGTCGCGTGCTGGGGGGCGATGCGTGGGGGGGGGCAGCAGCGAGGGCTGCGGAAAAGGAGCCCTCCTGGAGCCCCTGCAGGGGCACTTTCGGGCCCGAAAGGGACCATTCGGGACTGCCCAGAGCAGGCGGGCCAAGTCTCCCTGAGAACGAGGCTCCTGAGACACAGGGCATCCAGAGGCGACGGTCCTGGGCCACCCTCGTCGGAAAACGACACCAAAAAATGGAGGGACCCGCGCCACGGGAGCCCCCAGCGGCGGGCTGGCTCTGAGGGCTCGAGAGGTGCACCTGCCGTCACCCTTTCATTTTGTGGAGGTTGCCTAATGCTGTTCGTTGTGCCGGCTCCCTGCTCCCAACCATTCCTCCCTCCTCCCCCCCTTTTCCGTCCTGACATGAGAAGCGAATGATGATGATGATGATGATGATGATGATGATGATGATGATGATGATGATGATGATGATGATGATGATGATGATGATGATGATGATGATGATGATGATGATGATGATGATGATGATGATGATGATGATGATGATGATGATGATGATGATGATGATGATGATGATGATCATGATCATGATCATGATCATGATGATGATGATGATGATGATGATGATGATGAGATGAGGATGAGGATGAGGATGAGGATGAGGATGAGGATGAGGATGAGGATGAGGATGAGGATGATGATGAGGATGAGATGAGGATGAGGATGAGGATGAGGATGAGGATGAGGATGAGGATGAGGATGAGGATGAGGATGAGGATGATGAGGATGAGGATGAGGATGAGGATGGAGGAGGGAGGAGGAGGAGGAGGAGGAGGAGGAGGAGGAGGAGGAGGAGGAGGAGAGGAGGAGGAGGAGGAGGAGGAGGAGGAGGAGGAGGAGGAGGAGGAGGAGGAGGAGGAGGAGGAGGAGGAGGAGGAGGATGATGATGATGATGATGAGGAGGATGAGGAGGAGGAGGAGGAGGAGGAAAAATTCCAAATCAATGGTTTTCGTGCCTTCAGGCTGCCTGGGCGGATCTGGGCTGGAGGGGCCCTGAGGAAGTCCGAAGACAAGAACACCATTGATTGTTGATTTTTTGGTACCATCGCAGGTTTTGATATGTGTTTTGCTCCCTCACATGGTTCGTGGACCCAAGACGTTTTCCTTTTGTTTTTGATTGTATTGGTGCCTTCAGGCTGCCGGGGCGGACCTGGGCTGGAGGGGACCGGAGGAAGTTCAAAGACACGGTCACCATTGATTTGTGTTTTCATTTGTACCCTCGCAGGTTCTGTTGTTTTGTATTGATTGTTTTGGTTTTTAGCGGCAGCCTCACACGGTTCGTGGACCCAAGAGATTTTCGGTATCATTTGTTATTGTAGCGGCGTCTTCTCGTTTTTGATTGCATGGATGTGTTGTTTGAGTTTTTTTTGTAGTTTTGATTGTAGTTTGTTTGTGTTTGATTGTTCGGATCTTTGATTGGTTCGATTGCGTGGGGGAGAAAGGAGATGAGGAGGATTAGGATGAAGACGATAATGAACATGAGGAGTTAAATGAAAATGATGATGATGCTGATGATGATGATGATGATAATGATGATGATGATGATGGTGGTGGTGGTGGTGATGGTGGTGATGATGGTGGTGGTGATGATGATGCTGATGCTGATGCTGATGCTGATACTGATGATGATGGTGGTGGTGGTGATGCTGATGATAACGATTATGACGACGACGATGATGATGATGATGATGATGATGATGATGGTGATGATGGTGATGATGGTGATGATGACAAGAACGAGGACGATAAGGGATGACGACGATATTGGTGATGAGGAGGAGCATGAGGAACAGGAGTGACAATGATGATGGCGATTCTGATGGTGATGATGATGGTGATGATGGTGATGATGATGAGGAGGAGGAGGATGACGATGATGACGGCGACGAGGAGAAGGGGGTGGAGGTGGGGTTGTGATACTGATGATGTTGATGATGTGGAAGAGACTAGGATGATGACGTAGTTCTGGTGATTATGATGGTGACGAAGATTATGAGGATGATGATGATGAGGAGGAGGAAATGGGTGATGAGGATGATTATGAGGAGGCGGATGAGGAGGAGGATGATGCTGACGATGATGATGCGGATGGTTATGCTGGGGATGGGTAGGAGGGGCGAGGATGATGATGTTCTGCTGATGCTGATGCTGATGATAATGATGCTGATGATGATCATGATGATGACGATGCTGATTATGATGATGATTATGATGATGATGACGACGACGACGACGATGATGATGATGATGATGATGATGATGATGATGACGATGATGATGATGATGATGATGATGATGATGATGATGATGATGATGATGATGATGATGATGATGATGATGATGCTGAGTGTGATGATGCTGATGATGCTGATGATGCTGCTGATGATAATGATGTTGTTGTTGATGATGATGATGATGCTGATGCTGCTGCTGCTGATGATGCTGCTGCTGCTGCTGCTGATGCAGACGCGCAATGGCGCCGAGGATGGCCTCCGCCTCCGCGGCAGCCACGGAAACTCTGATGGCTGCCTGCATCGCCCGGCTTGGGGGCGGCGCTGGGAGGTCTCGCGTCGCCCACGCGTGGTTCGCCGCGTCCACGTCAATCTGGCGCAGGATGGCCAGGGCATCCTCACCCAGCCGGCTGTGCCCACTGCAAAGGCCGCGACGCGATCGCCAGCTGGCGCTTGGAGCGCTCCGCTGCGCGAGTCGCCAGGTGCACGTCCGTTGCTGCCGCTCGAACCTCGCCGTCCGGATAGCCATGCACCGTGACGTCGAGCCACGTCCACGCCACGCCAGCTGGCCACCTCCAGCAGACGTCTAAGATGGCCTCCTTGACGCCGCCGTCGCGATCCGTCTGGTGGAGCAGCGGGATGTGCGACTTCGACGATCGCGCCGGCCTTGCGGAGCGCCGCGGCTACTGCGGCCTTGATGTCGTTCTGCCACCTCACCCGGAAGGAGCCCACCATGCAGCGGGCCGCATGCACACCGCTGATGTCCAGCTGTCGCCCGCGTGGCTGCCCACGCCTCTGGCCACCGGGATAGCAACGAACACACGCCTGGCCGGGCTCCAGGACAGGCGCCCCCAGGCGCCTCCTCGCGGCCGGCAGCCAGCGACGAGTGCCAATCCACGCCGTCGAGGGGGCTGGCGCCGCTGACCGTCAGAGGCCCGCTCCTCTGCCGCCTCTGCCCAGCAGGTCTGGCGGCGCGCTCGTGCGACAGCGCGGCCACGAGGTCGGCGGCCCGCAGCGCCGCCAGCCCGCGGCCCAGCTTTCCCGCGAGCCGGCGTCTGCCCCCGCGAGCCTCTCTACGTCCCCG